AGAAATCCCACACAGAAACCCAAAAATGCACTAGCCAAAATTATTCGTACCCTTAACTTAATATTTGGTTGCACCCCCTTTGGAAAAAATAACTGAACTCAATCGCTTCCTGTAGCCATGAATGAGTTTCTTACACCTCTCTACTAGAATTTTGGGCCACTCTTCTTTTGCAAACTGCTCCAGGGCCTTCAGATTTGAAGGATGCCTTCTCCCAACGGCCATGACTATATATGATTTTGGACAGAAAATTAAATAGGCCCCATCCCTTCCTATTTCATTTTTTTAATATCTCTGTGAAAATACAACACAGTAATTTACAGGTGTACACAGAAGTAAGTCACGGTAGCCAAAATTGTCTTGCATTTCTGTGCAAGTGACATGTTTGGAGGGAAATTGCCCCAAGTTAAAAAATCACTGTAGATATTATAACTTGAATGCCAAGTTACATAATTCAGTATGCAAGAGATGATGTCTACGGTGATTTCTTAGCTTATGGTAATTCATTTTCGAAAGTTACCTCTTTTATAACAGTATAATCAGAAAAGAAGTTTTGGGCCAATGAGGTCAAACAGGTTTCCTAAAAAGTGAATGTGTATAAATTTTCACCCTTTATCTCCAGTAAGCAATTTTTTCCTGGTAATCCAACATTGTAAATTTGAAGTCTCTAAGAGTTCTTTCAGCACACACATCCCAGTTTTTAGAACAAGGAGATGGACAGAGCCTAGAAAAAAAGTGTGTAAAGATACGGAAGTTGTGGCTTCAGTGCATATGCAGGGTGCAAATCCATTTACAACATTATTATATATTAATGTTGCAATCTAGTAGTTTCTTCAGTGCAAATAGCTATAGGAATTTTGGTTATTTTGGTAATTGTTACTTCATGATAATTTTAAAATATACTTTTAAGGAAGATTCTAAAAGGAACTAGCATGCCCCTTTCTTTGCACACTCGGCTTGCCCAGCAAAAAGACTACATAAGTAGACAAGTAAAGTGTTGGGGTAGACATAAAATTGTGTGATAATAAAGATGCTAACTCAGTACATGTACACAGTGCAAAATGCAAATGTGGCAGCTTTGTTTTCATTGAGCCTTACATGGTTAAGACATTTAAAACCAAGTAACATAGTTGCTTTATTTGCTTTTTAAAAATATAGCACCCACTTCTAAATCAATGGAAGCAATATATATAGTCACTATTTATGGAGCAAAAGAATATAGCTAGTGGTGAGAGTGAAAAGAAGAAAAAGAAGAGTGATGCAGATTAGTGAAAAAATGTACCGTATTTTTCGCACCATAAGACACACATTTTCCCCACAAAACAGGGGGGTGGAAAGTCTGTGTGTCTTAAGGAGCGAAGAAAACAGATTATATTTTCCTGTTTTCTTCTCCTAAAAAATTGGTGCGTCTTATGGAAAGGTGCGTCTTATGGAGCGAAAAATACGGTAATTGCGCAAGCTGTAGGGCGAGTCCCTGTGCTTCAGGGCAGTTGCCTCCAACTTGACAGCTTCCAGATATGTTGGACCCTACCATCCCCAACCAATAATTTATAACAGAATTTGTAATCTATCTGGAAAAAAAAAGTCAGATGGGGAAGGCAACTTTAAACCTACAGAAAGAACTCCTTTAAATGTGCCAGGCCACGTGACATTCTCTGTAAATCCCACTATGCTAACTATTTAAATAACAAATTAATTAATGCTAACTCAAGGACTTATATGGTTTCCTTTTCCAATATTAACAACAATATATTATCTCTTCCATTTCAAATATTTGACAATGATTAATTAATTTTCAAACCTAATATGCCAAGCTCTGACTTCCTCCCTGGAAATGGAAAAAAATACTGTGCTTGAGAGCCGCAGGCTGGTAGGGAGGGCTCAGCCTAGGCTGCACAACACTCACCTCTCTTTCTGTTGCCTGCCCCTGGGCATTTGCTGTCTGAAGCAAGCCTTTGGACAATGGCCTAATGGTAGAGTCATCGCTGTCAGTTGAGGAGCAACTTGGTTACACAAGTGAACAGGACAGGGATTAGTTAACTAAAGGGATCTAGGTCTCCTTTAAAAGAAAAGACATGGAAGAAACTTCTAATTAATTGAATAGTAATCTTGGAAAGGGATGTGGTGATGCTGTGGGCTAAACTGCAGAAGCCTGTGCTGCAGGGTCAGAAGACCAGCAGTCGTAAGATCGAATCCACGCAACAGAGTAAGCTCCTGTCGCTTTGTCCCAGCTCCTTGCCAACCTAGCAGTTTGAAAGCATGTAAATGCGAGTAGATAAATAGGTACCATCTCAATAGGAAGGTAAAACGGTGTTCCCTAGTCACGCTGGCCACGTGACAACGGAAACTGTCTTTGGACAGGCGCTGGCTCTACGGCTGGAAAAGCGGGATGAGCGCCGCCCCCTAGAGTCGGACACGACTGGACTAAAAATGTCAAGAGGAACCTTTACCTTTACCTTTACTAGTCTTGGAAATCTTCAACAGCTCCTTACCAATCTACAATGGATAGAATGTTATTCAACTGTATATTATACTTAAGAATGCTTGCAAATAAGACCTAAAAAGACAGGATGACAACATTGAAGAGAATGACATTCTAAGGAGTAGTTGTGCCTTCACGTAGATTCTCAGTATTATTATTAATGTCTCATTTGTGGGCGGGGGGGAAGGAGTCAGGGAGAAAACTTAGGGTATTCAAAGGATTCTATTCTGTCATATTCAAAGGAATTCTATCTGTATCCAGGAATCTGAACTGCTTTTCCAGCCTAGCTCACAGCTACCGTAGTCATCGCTGCAAGACTGAGAAACAAGAATGTGGTAAAGGTATATATAGTGAGCTGCATTGTGGGTATGCCATATATATTTTCGAAGGCTTTCGCAGCTGGTATATGAAGGCTGTTGTAGACCATGTTCACAAGAATGTGGTAAAGGTATATATAGTGACCTGCATTGTGGGTATGGATGATGATGTAACACTCCTGCCATATATATTCTCGAAGGCTTTTGCAGCTGGTATCTGAAGGTTGTTGTAGACCGTGTTCAGAACATGGCTAATCAGCCCAAAAAACCTACAACAACCACTCGTGCCATAACTGCATCATTTGATGAAAGTCCTGTGTAATGCAGAGGCTAAGAAACTGGATTGTAAATCCAAAAATTCCCATTTCTGACCTTTCACAAACACACATGGTAGATTTCATCAAGAAACACAAAAGAAAAGGGAGGGAAAAAAGACGTTGTGGCACCTTAAAGTCTAACTGCTGTATTTTAATGTAAGCATTGATGGAACATGGCCACTGTCCCAACCAGAGGGACAATGGCTCAAAGGATAGCTATAAAAATGCTGTATTTTATTCCCCCCATATTTTACAAACAGTACACATTTAATTATTTGCTATATACTTTTAAAATTGCATTTTGTATATTTTAACCATATAATATGTTTTATGAATTAGCTGTACACTTTTTAAATTGCATTTTGTATATTTTAACCACATAATATGTTTTATGAACTGCCTGTACATTTTAAACTGCATTTTGTATATTTTAGCCATAAATATGTTTTATGAGCTGGTCACCTGACCGTAATTTAAAAAAAAAGAACATGGCCACTTCTCAGCCATACGAGTTAGAACATATGTAAGCAAGCCATAACCTTTGAACCTCATATCTACAATATGAAGATAAAACCATCTTGCCTTGTTATAAGGATGACTGAGATATAAGGATCTTGCCTTGTTATAAGGATTACTCAGAATATTATGTTTGTGTAAGGCCTGTGTAATTTGCGGTGATGAATTTATGAGATACCAGGAGGACACATCTCAGTTGTGCAGTTGGTGGCATGGCCTGGCACAAATGTCCCCTCAGTGCCTTGTGAATTACCCGTGAATAGCCATGGCAAGTTACACAAACCTTATACCCATAGGATTTGGGCCCATGTACGCGTGGCACTTTAAACTGTCAGAAAGCATTGCATAGGTCATGCCTGTTTCAATCCTTATACTCTTTAAAACAGGGCTAAGGAAACTGTGGCCTTCCTGACTCTTCTGGACCAAAATTCTCATATTCTGTCACCAATGGTGTGGTCTCTAGGATGGATGGGAGTTGTAATCCAGCAGCATCTAAAGAGCCACCCCGTATTCCCCAGCCATACTTAGAGATTTTTTTTTCAACATTGCAAGCTAACCTTACATTTGGTTACAAACAACAGGGACACAAAACACAGCCTATATAGTTTAATAATTTTTGGAGGGGAGTGGGAAATACTTGGTTATGGAGAATATAATTCCTCAGTTTCCATAGTCAGCATGGCCAGAAAGATTTCCCATATCTGGCTGGGATGGGTGTGCATTGGGCTGGATATCCTTTCATGATCCTTTCCAGATCAGGGATTCTGACTCAAAAGATTTCTGTGAATGAGTTTCTGTCAGTATCATTTGTCCGAGGCACACATGGCCGGGACTTTGGACTTATTAATAGTTTTAGCAAAATGCCTAGTCTTCCCCACCCCCCAAAGAGTGAGTCTGCTGGAGATGATATTCTCTAAACATGAAGGAGAAACTATTATCAGTACAGTACCTTCCTTGATGTTTAGTATCGCTTGAGGTTTTGGATGACAAGGAAGTTGAGGGGTGGCTCACTTTCCTCCTCTATCATAGCTGTGGAATGCGCTGATACCACAGTGCGTAGAAGTGCAGGTGCTTGTAGCTGGAGACAGAACTGGTTTGACACTCTGAAAAGTCCCCGCCCCCACCATCTGCCAGTGAAACCTAATGAATGTAAGAAGAGCCCCACTGGCTTAGATAAAACATTATCTAGTCCAGCATTCTGTTCCACTGTGGCCTACCAGATGCTAATGAGAGCCCACATGAAGACCTGGGCTCCCCCCCAACTTCCCCCCCAATTTCTTTTTTTTAAATGGTCATTCTTAGAAGCTCCCTATATGGCATTTTCCCCTTAAACAAGATAGCAATGGCTCCCATGTCTTATTTTACCCTCAACCCCCCCCCCCTCGAAACAGGTTTTACAACACCAGGAATAGACTTATAGTCACTGGTGTGGCACATCGTGAATTCAGGGAGTTGAAAATTGTGAACCTTGCCCACCCCTAGTACCAAATAAATCATATGCCATAAATTATCATAAGCCTCCAGATCCTTTGTCCAAAGAAACTTAAGATCCTGGGTAAACGCTATCACCCCTGGAGTTCTTGCTGCTTGGAAAATTAGGATGCGTATAATAATATAACTGCTTTTTCAGCCAGCTTTCAGAGTCTTAATTTCACATCTGAGTAGATCTCTTTTTTCATACACCCTTTGATTTTTATAGATGTAATGAAGGACTGATGGAGCATGAGGTGACTGTTTATAGTCTGACCCAAAATGTGGCCCCCAAGTATCATAACTGCAGCAGGGAGCTCCCAGATAACTCATCGTTTATGGGAGAAATATAAATTGCATTCTTTCTTTCTTTCACTTCCTATCTTATCAGGATCTCTTCCCTTGCAAACCTGCAGATTCAATTAATTAAATTTCTGAAGCAATGACCATTTTAACTAGATTTTTCTCTGCATACACAGGATACATGAGAGGGGGAAAAAGAACCTCACGGGAATGGTTGCTGGTGGTAGAAGAGATGTATGTGAGAAAGAGTGGGGAAGGGGAGAGACGGGGGGAAAAAGAAGGAAAGAGAGGGTCTTTGCATCAGAAATGGGGAATGTATGTCCCTCCAGTCATTGCTGACCTTCCACTCCCATCTGGACGGGGGGGGGGAAAGAAGGAAAGAGAGGGTCTCTGCATCAGAAATGGGAAATGTATGTCCCTCCAGTTATTGTTGACCTTCCACTCCCATCCGCTTGGACAACCCTCAGAGAGAGAAATTCAAACTGAACACTGAATTTTTTGATGGTCAGATTCTACCGCCTTCAAGGCATTTCTGTGAGGCTAGATCAGTGTGGAAAGTACACAGAAGTGCAAGCTAGAATCTCCAGCTGCCTGGCAGTGTTCTTTGTTCAGAGACATTTTCAGATAGGAGAGGAATGGGAAAGGTTTGCCTCATCACAGCACCTGAGAAATGTCACATGCAGTGAGAAAAAATCCAGAGCATCCATATTGCTCCCTGTTTAAGGAGGTGGGTAGGGAATCTCTTGCACAAATATCAGCTGTTCTCCTCATAAAAAGAATCCTGGATCTGTGCCTTAGGTATTGTGCTGAAGTTTGGTTATGTGATTTAATGTCATATTGAGGAGATGGAAGGCAGCTGGCAGTCAGATTTTGTAATATTTTGCCTGTAAAATATGTTTGTATTTCAGCAACCGTTGTGTTAATGGATTCAAATTCATTTTGCCTATTAATTTAATTTGATCTACATTTGGATTAGTTTATAAAGCCATGTATCACTTGCTTCCCCACCCTGGTCCTGTAGATGATACTCCTTCCTGACGGCCAGGATTATGGATGATGGGACTCGTAATCTGGAGACTACCATGGTGGGGGTGGTATTTTTCCCCCGCGCACTGTACTGGTATCAAAGAGTTAGAAAGGAGCCAGAATCTGCATGACACAGGAATGCCTTTTGACTCATGCTTTGAGAACAAAGTGTTGATTCCAAAAGGAAATTCCTATAGGAAAGGTTTGAGTAAAACAACACAGTAAAAAAAGGGCATCCAGGGAGTACGTAAATTCACTCATGGAGAATTCATATTAACAAGCTTTAGTTCCAGACAGACAACCCAGGCTCTGGACAGCCCGCCCAGGATTTAAGTCTCTCTGTAATCAGCAGAGCTGCAAATTCTAATGAGAAAATCCTCTTAAAACTCCAGAAAGAAAGTGAATCTTGTTCAAAGCAGCTGGATTTTCTTGTGCACGCAGGATGACTGCTGGAATGAACTTGTTGGTAGGAAAGGACAGCGCACAGGAGAAATGGAACAGAAGCTCCCGCTTTCCTCCTGGAGCAAAGTGTCTGCAGTCATAATGCAAAGCTGAAAGGACAAGACTAGTAGAAAAGAATCGCAGCAACTCAGAAATCACATACTGGCTCAGAGGTGTCTCCAGCGAGGATATTGCCTGAACTATGATGTCATGGAACGTACCAAACTGTAAGGCACTCTGTGGGAGGCTTCCTTTGAATACAATTTAGAAATTTCAACTGGTACAAAATGCAGCTCTGCCTGGATGGCAATAGAGGCCAGGAGATAGAACATGACACTATAATATTATACTGTACTGGTTTCGCTGGTAGTGTTTGTATTTCCAAGTCCAGTTCAGAACTTTAACACATGATTGTCTTGAAAGCTATAAACACGTTGTTTTTGTAATATGCCATCAAGTCGCTTCTGGTGACCCTATGAATTATTGACCTCTGAAAGGTTCTTTCATTAACAGCTTTGCTCAGTTTTGCATACTTAATGCAGTGGCTTCTTTTACTAAATCAATCCAGCTCATATTTGTTTCCCTCTTTTCCTCATGCCTACAGCTTGTGGTCTTTTCCAGTGAAGCATGAGAGGCACAGTTTAGCCATTTTTGCTGCTAGAGAGAGGCCTGATTTAATCTGGTATCTATACAGCTCTTCTTCAAAATCATAGTTTGATTTAAATTATTTTTTTCTTTTTCACCTCTCTTCATTCTCTAGTTTTAACATCTGTACTTGGGTATACAGTGGTGCCCCGCTAGACGATTACCTCGCAAAATGGTTAATTCGCTAGATGACGAGTTTTTGCAATCGCTATAGTGCTTCGCAACACGGTGTTTCCTATGGGCGATTTTCGCTGGACGATGTTTCGGACCGTGCTTCGCAAGACGTTTTTTTTCAGAACTGATTTTCGCAAGATGACAGTTTTGACAGCTGAGTCCGCAATTCGCAAAACGGGTGTTTTCGGGACCGTTTTTCGCAAGACAGTGATTTTTACAGCTGATCCACGCTTTGCAAAACAGTTTCTCTATGGGCGATTTTCGCAAAACGACGACAATTTCAATGCATTTCAACGGGGAACCGCATTTCGCAAGACGATGTTTTCACAAGACAGCGATTTTCGCTGAACGACTGAACACCGTCATGCAGGGCACCCCTCCAGGGTGTGGCCTGCAGCACAAACAGTTTGGGCTAGGTCTCTTCTGCCCATCAACATAACTGATCTTACCATGGGAGCTTTCAGCATAGCCACCTCATAGAAGTCCAGGAAAGTTCATGCAAGTGAAGGCCGTCCTTTGGAAAATATATAACTGTTCGGGCTAGGTTTTCTAAAGGAGTAGCTTCCTGGATACAGAGTGTACTGTATTACATGAACTATCGGGCTTCTATTAAGTGGCTGGGTCCAGAGGCCCAGTGGTGAGATCAATTATGTTGATGGGCGCAACAGACAGGGTCTTCTCAGCAGAGGCCCTTAGTTGTGGAATTCTTTTCCTTTTCAGATGTAAAATGGCCCCAACAATACAAGACCAAAAAAAAAAACATGTTTATTGGGAGTAACTCTTATCTTATCAAGTTGGGCACTGAAGTTCTTTTTAGGTTGTTTTATGTATATGTCTTTATGACATGTCTCTTGTTTTCATGCTGTTTTTTGTAAAATTGCTTTTTTGTTGCTTTAATATTACTGTTTAACAAACTAGTGTTGTTTTATAAAAACAGCTTAATGAAGGGAATGCCTTAAAAGGTGACCTATGTATTCATTGAAAAAAATGAAAATTCCATGTGCTAAAGGAAAGGGGCTGGGAGCCGAATACTAATCAATAGTTCAGCTTCTTTGAGGGATGTGAACAGTCAATTTCATGGTTGAAAAGAATGGTTGAAAGTGTTGGCAGGGGCCCAGAGAAACGGAAAACTGTGGAAAGGAGGGCTACAGACCAAACTAGTTAATGTATGGACAGAATAAGCAATGGACTGAGGAGCAGGGAACCAAAAGATGGATGTCAGACATATGAGAAGTAAATGAATGGAGAACAAATAGTGTTTCTTTGTCTTGGAACATTTGGAAGGACAGCAGGTAAACCTCCAAATATCATAGACTTGAGCTCATACCAGCCTCAAACACAATGGCCAGGGATGAAGGATTGTGGAAGTTAAATTCCAAAACATCTAGAGATCTATGTGAAGAGATGTGAAAATTTCTCATTATATTTCACATTTTTCAGTCATGATATCTCAACATGTTGGAGCATCTTGCAAATAAATAGCTAACTACTGCAGTCTTTCTCTCTTCCAGTGCAAGAACAAAACAAGCACTTTTTAACTTTTGATATTACAGCGTTTTACACAAATTGTTTCTTTGGATTCTGGTATCCTTTCCCTTTATGACATTAAGCTCACACTACACACACAGGAAATACAAAGGATTGTCTGGTAAGATGCAAAGAAACCACCCAGTGCTTCCACTTCTAAAAAGTGCAACAGGGCAGCAGCTGTTGTAGTTTTATGTAGATGCACAATTTGCACAAAAACTGATCTCCAAAATGTGAAAATTCTAATAAAGAATGACAGAGAAAATCTCACAACCTTGCTGGTGAGGGAGAAGATTTTTCAGCTATGCAGTTTGCACAAAAACCAAGGTTGCTGTAGTGGAAACTCATCAAGGACAGATAAAATCTTGCCATCTTTGTGATGAGAAGGTGCCTTCCATGTGAGAACAGAAGAAGCAGAGATTTACACCCCCAATCTTTCTGTCTATCACCAATCTGCAAGGCTGGTGAGATCTCATTCAGGTTTTTCGT